AATATATTAAGTCTATTTTTCACAAAAAATACTTACCAAAAGTACTTATTATTCTGGCCGGCAATCTTTTACACTATACCCTTTCATTAAACATACTTCCAAAGTATGTGGGCATCGGAACTCAGCCAGAGCCTAGTCACGGTAAATATCAGAAAATATAAATCAAATACTTACCAGATAGGATGACTCTCCGATCCCGGACGAGCACCAAAACTGAAAGGGATTTGTGCTTCTAATAATCACTGGTAGGTTCCGGTTTCCCATTAGGCCCAAGAGACTGTGTTCTGGAAGGAAGAAATTAGCATGCACACACAGGTTTCCAGAAGACAATCTGAATCTTTATTCGTAGATTCTTCTTCTTATATTGTAACAAAGAAAACCATACAATAGGATTTTGCTGGATACTTAAGGCTGTGAACGTGAGATTTCTCAGAACTTGAAATCAGTTACAAGTAACCAACAGTTATTTTCCCATGGGACAGAAGTATTTGACTTTTAACTATATCATAGCAGAAACAGGTGCTGTTAATACAAAGAAATAACTGGATACTTTCCCTGCCTCTACCAAGGCTAAGCTAAGATATAAAACAAAAGAATATTGTGAGTACAGTTCTATAATACATACACAGCTTTTACATGCAGGTCTTGATATTTTCATTAACTCATTCTGGGCATAATACAAAACAATTAATCAACATGTAGTACAAGATACAAAATGGAGGGGTTAAACAAAATGACAGACAAAAGGACATACATTTCCCTTCAAGTATAACCCGCATTAAACGTCAAAAAGACACTCGATGCCCGGTTATTGTGTTGGGAGACTGGGGAACTGCTGTGTGTCTGGCTGCTTTGCACCCAACAGCGAAGAGAATCTGGGACAACACAGCACGACTAGTTTGAAGTTTGCACTACGGACTATGCTGCTTCAGCTAGCTTGTCCCTGTGCTCAAAGGGTTCTGGGTCACACTGTCCAGTGCATGCCTCACCATCTGCTCTTTCTTGCATCACAAATTTTGGAGCACCAATGTCATGAAACACAATCCTCCCATCTCTCCGTGACAGATCTGCTGCCCTTGGAGAGATTGATCCAGAGTTGTTGGCTTAGGTCTGCTGCTATAGTTGGGAGTCTCCACCATATCTTACAACAAGAGGTTCATCCTGAAGAGTTTGGCTATTACTAGAGTTTCCTCAGTTACAGTTTGCCGTAAATTTGGAGTATCCCAAGGCTCACTCTACACCCCAACCTGCTCCTATAGTTGGGAAGTCTCCTGAGCTGTATGTCCACCATCTTCTATAAGAAGAGGTCCATCCTGAAGAATTTGGCTATTACTAGAGTTTCCTCAGTTACAGTTTGCCGTAAATTTGGAGTATCCCAAGGCTCACTCTACACCCCAACCTGCTCCTATAGTTGGGAGTCTCCTGAGCTGTATGTCCATCATCTTCTATAAGAAGAGGTCCATCCTGAAGAGTTTAGCTATTACCAGAGAGTTTCCTCAGTTACAGTTTGCCGTAAATTTGGAGAATGGGCATGCAGTAATGATGGAAGTGATGGCCTGAATGAGCAGAGCATGGAAGTGTTTGAAAAAGGGTGCCTATTCACAATCTAATGAGCCCACCTGGGCCACCCCTTAGCGGCATGCACCCGGCGATCTCCATGATCACATCATGTGGTAAAAAGCCAATCACAGCAGCCTTTTACCACGTGATCAGCCAAGTCCAATGACACAGCAGATCACTGGTTAAATGCAGTTGCTGGTTATTGGCTGCACTTTCCTCGCCCTGTACAGCGCGCGGAAAGTACTCCTGATAACCGACAGTTGTCAGAGAACAGATGATCAGTGCCCAGAAGTGCCACTCAGCAGTACCCACCATCAGTTCTGCCCAGCAGTGCCACTCACCAGTGCCCAGCAGTACCCATCAGTGTCACCCAGCAGTACCACTCACCAGTGCCCAGCAGTATCCCCCCATCAGTGCCACCCACCAGTGCCTAGTAGTGCCACTCACCAGTACCCCCCATCAGTGCTGCCTATCAGTGCCCATCAGTGCTGGCTATTAGTGCCGCCTCATCAACGCACATCAGTGAAGGAGAAAAATGACGTTTGCAAAATTTTTTAATAGAAACAAAGAAAAACCTTTTTTTTTTCAAATTTTTTTTGCCCTTTTATTGTTTATAGTATAAAAAAAAATAAACCCCCAGCGGGGAGTAAATACCACCAAAAGAAAAGCTCTATTTGTGAGAAAAAAATGATAAAAAAAAAATGTCATATGGGTACAGTGTTGTATGACCGTGTAATTGTCATTCAAAGTGCGACAGCCCTGAAAGCTGAAAATTGGCCCGGGCAGGAAGGGGGGTGACAGAGCTCGGTAGGCAGGAAGGGGGTGAGAGCGCTCAGTGGGCAGGAAGGGGGTGAGAGCGCTCAGTGGGCAGGAAGGAGGTGACAGTGCTCGGTAGGCAGGAAGGGGAGTGACAGTGCTTGGTAGGCAGGAAGGGGGTGAGAGCGCTCAGTGGGCAGGAAGGGGGGTGACAGTGCTCGGTGGGCAGGAAGGGGGTGACAGTGCTCGGTGGGCAGGAAGGGGGTGACAGTGCTCGGTGGGCAGGAAGGGGGGTGACAGTGCTCGGTGGGCAGGAAGGGGGTGACAGTGCTCGGTGGGCAGGAAGGGGGTGACAGTGCTCGGTGGGCAGGAAGGGGGTGACAGCGCTCAATGGGCAGGAAGGGGGTGACAGCGCTCGTTGGGTAGGATGGAGTGAGAGCGCTCAGTGGGCAGGAAGGGGGTGAGAGCGCTCGGTGGGCAGGAAGGGGGTGAGAGCGCTCGGTGGGCAGGAAGGGGGTGAGAGCGCTCGGTGGGCAGGAAGGGGGGTGACAGCGCTCGGTGGGCAGGAAGGGGGGTGACAGTGCTCGGTGGGCAGGAAGGGGGGGGGGGGTGACAGTGCTCGGTGGGCAGGAAGGGGGTGACAGTGCTCGGTGGGCAGGAAGGGGGTGACCGTGCTCGTGGGCAGGAAGGGGGTGACAGCGCTCTGTGGGCAGGAAGGGGGTGAGAGCGCTCGGGTGGGCAGGAAGGGGGTGACAGTGCTCGGTGGGTAGGATGGAGTGAGAGCGCTCGGTGGGCAGGAAGGGGGTGACAGTGCCCGGTAGGCAGGAAGGGGGTGACAGTGCTCGGTGGACAGGAAGGGGGTGACAGTGCCCAGTAGGCAGGAAGGGGTTGACGATGACTGGTAGGCAGGAAGGGGGTGACAATGACCTGTAGGCAGGAAGGGGGTGACAGTGCTCGGTGGGCAGGAAGGGGGTGACAGTGCTCTGTGGGCAGGAAGGGGGTGACAGCGCTCTGTGGGCAGGAAGGGGGTGAGAGCGCTCGGTGGGCAGGAAGGGGGTGACAGTGCTCGGTGGGTAGGATGGAGTGAGAGCGCTCGGTGGGGCAGGAAGGGGGTGACAGTGCCCGGTAGGCAGGAAGGGGGGGACAGTGCTCGGTGGACAGGAAGGGGGTGACAATGCCCAGTAGGCAGGAAGGGGGTGACAATGACTGGTAGGCAGGAAGGGGGTGACAATGACCTGTAGGCAGGAAGGGGGTGTGACAGTGCTCGGTGGGCAGGAAGGGGTGACAGTGCCCGGTGGGCAGGAAGGGGGGGACAGTGCCCGGTGGGCAGGAAGGGGGGTGACAGTGCTCAGTGGGCAGGAAGAGGGTGACAGTGCTCAGTGACAGTGCTCAGTGGGCAGGAAGAGGGTGACAGTGCTCAGTGGGCAGAAGGGGGGGTGACAGTACCTGGTGGGTAAGTGGCTGGCCATCCTGCACTTTCTTGGAGTTGGTTGGAGGATCCCAGCCGTCTCTTTTACTTGCTGAGGCCCTGACAAGCGTGCAGCAGAAAAGAGCTGCCTTCTGCCGTGTGACACGCGCGGGGTCACATATCCGCCTGGTTTTGGGGTTAAATACAGCAACTCTTGAAAAAATTCTGCATGTGCGATTGTAGAAGCGTTTTTTTTTTTCTTCCACTTCCATTTATTAACCACTTGCTGACCGCACTATAGCCGAAAATTGGCTACAGTGAGGTCGGTTAGTTCTGGGATGGCGTCTAGAGATGTCCTCCTATAACTCCACCCCCTCCTTTGGGCACAGCTGATTGCAGATCGCGGTAACGGGCCAATCACAGCTGATCACAGATCGCAGTAACGGGCCAATCACAACATGAGGAAAGGAAAGCCGGTAATCTACAAATCTGACAGGACATTTACACTGATTATCATTGCCCATCAGTTACACCTATTAGTTCCCATAAGTGCCACTTATCAGTGCCGCCCCATCAGTGCTGCCTACCAGTGCCACCTATTAGTGCCCATCAGTCCCACCTATCAGTGCCCATCATCAGTACACCTATCAGTGCCACCTCATCAGTGCTGCCTATCAGTGCCACCTCAGTGCCGCCTGTTAGTGCCACTTATCAGTGCCGCCTCATCAGTGCTGCCTATGAGTGACACCTATTAGTGCCCATCAGTGCCACCTCATCAGTGCTGCCTATCAGTGCCTATCAGTGCCAACTCATCAGTGCCACCTATCAGTGCCCATCAGTGACACCTATTAGTGCCTATCAGTACACTATCAGTGCAACCTCATCAGTGCTACCTATCAGTGCCGCCTCATTGGTACTGCCTATCAGTGCAACCCATCAGTGTCACCTATCAGTGCCGCCTCATTGGTACTGCCTATCAGTGCCCATCAGTGTCACCTATCAGTGCCGCCTCATCGGTACTGCCTATTAGTGCCCATCAGTGTCACCTATCAGTGCCACTCATCAGTCCCATCAGTGCCGCCTATCAGTGCAACCCCATCAGTGCTCATCAGTAAAGCAAAGCAGGGATGAAAAACAGAGATCTTAGTACAAGCAGCACACATTGCACAGAGTTAGGCACTCATTTAACTCCTTCATCACCCCCTCCCAGCCAGTGTCACTGTATAGTATCAGCACTGATCACTGATTCCTGTCATTGATGATGTTCATGTCCTGGTCATGAAGGGGGGGGGGGGGGTAAAACCTGAAGTGGTAAAAGAAACAAAGAAGACAGCCAGTCACACGTGTTGGTCTGAGAGACTTTATTTGGATGTAGTTTGTGGCATTCGGTTTGGATTTGTTCGTCTATTAAGTATTTCCCATGACCTTCGCTCCGTGGATAGGATCGTGGTTTTGGTGAATGTGAGCAGCTACCAACCAAAAATGTCACTGGTGAAAGTCTAATCAGATTTTCACTTCCTATAAAAAAAAAAAAGGTTTCCCGCACTCTGATCGTGAGGTCCTTCATACCCTTGTCTTCTCTGATGTTGAATATGTTTTGCTTTCTCAGCAAAACTTCTCCCGCACTTTGAACAGGAAACAGAACACACGAACAAAAAAAAAAAAAAAAAAGAAGGATGTTCACCCGTGTGAGTTTTCTGATGTTTAGGAAGATCTCCTGACTCAATGAAACGTTTCCCGCACTCCAACTCACGGCTCTGTCTGTACAACTGAACATAAAAAAACCTTTATAAAAAGAAACATTTCCCACACTCTGAACATGACAAAGAACGCTCTCTGGTATGAATTCTCTGGAGTATAACAAGTAAGCTTTTTTTTTTTTTTTTTTCAGAAAAACATTTCCCGCACTCTGAACATAAGAAAGGGCGCTCACCAGTATGAATTCTCTGGTGTAAAATGAGTAAGCTTTTATTTTTTTCAGGAAAACATTTCCCGCACTCTGAACTTGAGAAAGAGCGCACTCCGGTATGAATCCTTTGGAGTATGAGTAAGCTTTTTTTTTTTTCAGAAAAACGTTTCCTGCACTCTGAACATGAGAGAGTGCTCACCGGTATGAATTCTCTGGAGTATAATGAGTAAGCTTTTTTTTTTTTCAGGAAAACATTTCCCTCACTCTGAACATGAGAAAGATAGCTCTCTGCGTGACAATTTTTGCTTTTTTTTTTTTCCAACACACTCCATTCATGAGAGAGGATGACAGAATTTTAGATGTTCAAGAGGGTGAGCAAAACAGACCTCAGCTTTGGGTGAAACTTTTCCAACCATCAAAACATAATTGAAAAAAAAGTCACTCATTTGTGCGAGAGTGTTTTAAAAAGATACACCAAGTGCAACATTTCCCGCACTCTAAAACATAAACAACGGAAAAAAAAAGTCACTCGCCAACATGAATTTTCTGGTGTTTATGCAGGTGTTGTTTTATAGTGAAACATTTCCCGCACTCTAAACAAGAAAAAGGACGCTCGCCCGTGTGAATTCTCAGGTGTACATTAAGTTTTCCTTTCTCTCTAAAACATTTCCCGCACGCTGGGCACGCATAAGGACGCTCGCCCGTGTGAATTCTCTGGTGAGTACGAAGGTTATCTCTCCCATTGAAACTTTTTCCGCACTCTGAGCACACAAAAGGACGTTCGCCGGTGTGAATTCTCTGGTGCGAAACAAGTTTTTCTTTTCGCACGAAACGTCTCCCGCACTCCGGACACGAAAAAGGATAGTCACCCATGTGCGACCTCTGGTGGTAAGTGAGGCTTATTTTATGACTGAAAGCTTTCCCGCACTCTGAGCATGAATAAGGGCGCTCACCCGTGTGAACTCTCTGGTGCGAACGAAGTTTTCCTTTCTGAGAGAAACATTTCCCGCACTCTGAACACGAGAAAGGACGCTCGCCGGTGTGGACGATCAGATGTTTATGGAGGTCTCCTTTATAGGTGAAACATTTCCCGCACTCTGAACATGAGAAAGGACGCTCGCCCGTGTGAATTTTCAGATGTTTATGGAGGTCTCCTTTGTTGGTGAAACATTTCCCACACTCCGAACACGAGAAAGGTCGTTCTCCTGTGTGAATTCTCTGGTGTTTAAGAAGGTCTGCTTTCTGAGTAAAACTTTTCCCGCACTGTGAACATGAAACTGAACTTTTACCTGTGAAAACATGGCTTGAAGGAGGTTTCTTAGGATAAAATGTAGCAGTCGATCGATCTGCACTGTGAGAACTTAGAAGGACATCTGAAGTCATAGTATGGGACCTATCAGAAGATTCCTCAGGATTAGAAGGATCCATTGAGGTCTGCAAATGGCGAGGTCTGTGGTGTCTATTTTGAGGAAGGAGATTCACTCCTGGAGAATATTGTGTGATGCCAATGCCTCCTGCATTATATTCTTGAGATGAGATATGAGGTCCCTTCTCCGTACTTCGGACATAATGTCCATCTGTGGAAGGAATTGTATATTGCATGTATTAGGAGATTTCATATTTTGTATTCAGAAGTCAGAAGTCCTCCTCTGCCAGTCACAGATCTCAGAGAGTTTGGGCATCAAACATCAAATGATAACCAGAAGTCTACAACTATGATATTGTTATGGTGAGGAACATAGATGGACCTTCATATGGTGTCCAGTATCTCCTCCTCATTTGTTGGGAACATGACGTTATATTGAGGAACGGAGATGGACCTTCATATGGTGTCCAGTATCTCCTCCTCATTTGTTGGGAACGTGACGTTTCTATTGAGGAATGGAGATGGACCTTTCATATGGTGTCCAGTATCTCCTCCTCATTTGTTGGGAACATGACGTTATATTGAGGAATGGAGATGGACCTTTCATATGGTGTCCAGTATCTCCTCATTTGTTGGGAACATGACATTCTATTGAGGAATGGAGATGGACCTTCATATGGTGTCCAGTATCTCCTCATTTGTTGGGAACATGACGTTCTATTGAGGAATGGAGATGGACCTTCATATGGTGTCCAGTATCTCCTCCTCATTTGTTGGGAACATGACGTTATATTGAGGAATGGAGATGGACCTTCCATATGGTGTCCAGTATCTCCTCCTCATTTGTTGGGAACATGACGTTATTTATGGAGATGGACCTTCATATGAGGAATGGAGATGGACCTTTCATATGGTGTCCAGTATCTCCTCCTCATTTGTTGGGAACATGACGTTATATTGAGGAATGGAGATGGACCTTTCATATGGTGTCCAGTATCTCCTCCTCATTTGTTGGGAACGTGACGTTATATTGAGGAATGTTATATAGTCCGGCCCTCCAACTGTCCCTCAGACTGTTGGAGGGCTGGACTATAGTTTTAAAAAAAAAAAAAAAAAAAAACTATGAACAAATACGGACACAGTACAGGAGATGACCAGAGACTGCGGACATACAACGGCGCCGGGAATACTGGGCCGGCCGCTCCATAAGACGCAGACATTTCCCCCCAAGTGTGTCTTATGGAGCGAAATAGTGCCCCATTATTGGTGTCAGTGGGAGGAATGGTGCCCCATCATTGGTGTCAGTGGGAAGAATCGTGCCCCATCATTGGTGTCAGTGGGGGGAGGAATAGTGCCCCATTATTGGTGTCAGTGGGGGGAGGAATAGTGCCCCATCGTTGGTGTCAGTGTGGGGGGGGGGGGGGGATAGTGCCCCATCATTGGTTGGTGTCAGTGGGGGAAGGGGATAGTGTCCCAACATTGGTGTCAGAGGGAGGAATAGTGCCCCATCATTGGTGTCAGTGGGAAGAATAGTGGCCCATCTTTGGTGTCAGTGGGAGGAATAGTACATCATTGGTGTCAGTGAGGGGGAATAGTGCTCCGTCATTGGTGTCAATGGGAGGAATAGTACATCATTGGTGTCAGTGGGGGGGAATAGTGTCCGTCATGGTGTCATGGGAGGTACATCATTGTGTCAGTGGGGGGGAATAGTGTCCCATCTTTGGTGTCAGTGGGAAGAATAGTACCCATCATTGGTGTCAGTGGGAGGGGAATAATGCCCCGTCATTGTGTCAGTGGGGGAAGGAATAGTGTTCCATCTTTGGTGTCAGTGGGGGTGGAATAGTGCCCATCATTGGTGTCAGTGGAGGGTGGAATAGTGCCCCATCATTGGTGTCAGTGGAGGGTGGAATAATGCCCCATCATTGGTGTCAGTGGAGGAATAGTGCCCCATCATTGGTGTCAGTGGGAGGAATAGTGCCCCATCATTGGTGTCAGTGGGAGGAATAGTGCCCCATCGTTGGTGTCAGTGGAGGGTGGAATAGTGCCCCATCATTGGTGTCAGTAGAGGAATAGTGCCCCATCATTGGTGTCAGTGGGAGGAATAATGCCCCATCATTAGTATCAGTGACACCAATGATGGGGCACTATTCCTCCCACTGACACCAATGACACGTAACTTGCTGACCCCTGCTCCAGCCTAGGTGCTACTGCAGCCAGCATACCTGGTTGCAGCAGCACCATCAGCACGGCACACTTACCTGTCAGCTGTCCTTCTTCACTCCGGATTCTCTCTCACTCGATGTTCGCGGGGCTGCTCGGCTACACCTCCTCGCAGGTGATTGGCCGCCTGTGTGCCTTTCCTGAGCTACAGTTCTGGCGCCCAATCACCGGTGAGGAGGCGGAGCCGAGCGGCAGGAGTGAGGGAGTGGCCGGAGTGAATGAAGGAGCAGCGCTTCCTGGACTGGATCGTTGTGGGACTGGGACCGGAGCCAGGTATGGGTACAGCAGCCCCCTGCCCGCCCCTGTACTTAGTGTCCCTTCCTGTCCCACCCCTGCCGGCGGCCCGGATAAATGGCCTCGGCGGGCCGCGGGCCGTAGTTTGAGGACCCCTGGTCTAGAACATTGAGTAGACATACATTTTCTCAACTGACGTAGCAATATGTATACGAGATGTGTCTAAAACGTTCAGTGAATGGTATCAGAAAACTAACAAAACAGAAGATACACACAAATGACCTTTATTGGCCTTCAAAATAATGACCATCCTTCACAACACACTTTTGGCAAAGTTCATAAAGCTTCTGGAAACTGTCATCAAAGGCCTCTTTAGGAATCGATCGGCCACGTCCGCAAACATGCGCCTTTCATAATGCTCTTCAGGTGCCAGATCAGGGGAGTACGGTGGATCATCGAAAACAGGTACAATAATTGGCACGCGTGGACCCGCACAGTGTGCAGGAGCGTTATCGTGCAGCAACCTCCACTGGTCACACGTGGTAATGAAATCTTTGCAGGTTTTCATCCGTTTTGCTTTCTGATTGTCTGTCAGCTTGTACGGCACCAACTGGAAACAGATCTACCGCTCACCCAAATCTTCGCGGACGATGGTGCGCACCGTATCCTCGCTAATGCTGAATCCCTCTGCCATCAGTCGCCGATCTCGTGCCAGCATTTGTCGCACTCGCTTGATCATGGCTGGGGTTCTGCTTGTCAACAGCCGACCCGAACATGACTCATCTGCCCACAGCTGGTTTACCCTGATGGCCACGTGTAGTCCACGCTAGGTGGTGATTCTTGACCTGTCTCTGGATGGCTATGTGCATGAATGCGAACCTGGCCCATGTTGCCATTGAGATATCGGACCATTCACCGAACGGTTTTAGACACACCTCATATCATACTCACAGAAGTAAAATGAAAACGTAAACAGTTTCTGAATTTAATACTTATTACTTACTTATGCCAATATAAAGGGAAGATTCCTCCAGTTTACTGTCCATAATCCTCTCCCCCTCCTCCATAGACTGCTGATCTCCACTCACCAACGTCTCTTCTTCTTCCTCTTTAACCTCAACTTTGATGTCTTTCAGTTCTTCACCCTGAACCTCAAAAATGATACATACATTACAATACATTACATAAAAAGAAACAAAAAAAAGATTGTCATCTCAAAGCTTGCAATACATTGTTAGGTCTGCATGCGCAGTCCCACTTACCTGGTGATGGTGAGGGATGGTGTGATCTTCCTGTGTAGAATCCCGGGAATACAGAGGATGGGGACATCTCTCTGGTAGGTTCCCATGACTGGATCCATCTGTAGGAAACACACACACTGACTGAATCCATTGTTTCTATGTGTTTATCAGATGATGGGGGATCTAGGTGGACCCTCCGTACTGCTCTCTCCTTTCCAATAAAGTCTCCTCTTACCCGGTGATGTGAGGGGCGGCTGATTGTCCATCATGACGTCCTTGTAGAGGTCCTTGTGTCCTTCTAAATACTCCCACTCCTCCATGGAGAAATAGACAGTGACATCCTGACACCTTATAGGAACCTGACACACACAATGATACAGTCACCATCCAGACACATCCCATGGATAAAGTAACTTCCTGTCCAGGGTATGATTGTCAAACAAAACAGGATGTGTGGAAAATAAGCCCAACAAAGGCACAGGGAATGACTATACTGTGGGGCCTGTCCTATTATTATCACTGGACTGGCTCTGGAGTAAAAGATGGATAAATGGTTCTATATTCAGTCTGTATCCGGTCTATAAACCAGAGGCTCTGGATGGACGGTTGGATAAATGGTTCTAAGGATGTATGCGGTCTATAAACCAGAGGCTCTGGATGGACGGTTGGATAAATGGTTCTATATTCAGTCTGTATCCGGTCTATAAACCAGAGGCTCTGGATGGACGGTTGGATAAATGGCTCTATATTTAGGACGTATCTGGTCTATAAACCAGAGGCTCCGGATGGACGGTGGATAAATGGCTCTATATTTAGGACGTATCCGGTCTATAAAAACCCAGAGGCTCTGGACGGACGGTTGGATAAATGGTTCTATATTTAGGATGTATCCGGTCTATAAACCAGAGGCTCTGGATGGACGGTTGGATAAATGGTTCTATATTCAGTCTGTATCCGGTCTATAAACCAGAGGCTCTGGATGGACGGTTGGATAAATGGTTCTATATTTAGGATGTATGCGGTCTATAAACCAGAGGCTCTGGAACGGTTGGATAAATGGTTCTATATTTAGGACGTATCCGGTCTGTAAACCAGAGGCTCTGGATGGACTTGGATAAATGGCTCTATGGACGTATCTGGTCTATAAACAGAGGCTCCGGATGGACGGTTGGATAAATGGCTCTATATTTAGGATGTATCCCGGTCTGTAAACCAGAGGCTCTGGATAGACGGTTGGATAAATGGTTCTATATTTAGGACGTATCCAGTCTGTATTCTGGATGGACGGTTGGATAAATGGTTCTATATTTAGGACGTATCCGGTCTGTAAACCAGAGGCTCTGGATGGACGGTTGGATAAATGGCTCTATATTTAGGACGTATCTGGTCTATAAACCAGAGGCTCTGGATGGACGGTTGGATAAATGGTTCTATATTTAGGATGTATCCGGTCTGTAAACCAGAGGCTCTGGATGGACGGTTGGATAAATGGTTCTATATTTAGGACGTATCCAGTCTGTAAACCAGAGGCTCTGGATGGACGGTTGGATAAATGGTTCTATATTTAGGACGTATCCAGTCTGTAAACCAGAGGCTCTGGATGGACGGTTGGATAAATGGTTGGTGAGGTAGATGAGTCTAGCCACTGAGTTTAGGATCGACTGGAGTGGGGATAGCATTTCGTTTGGGTAGGCCAGTGAGAAGGGAATTGCAATAGTCAAGGTGTGAGATGATGAGGGAGTGTACGAGTTGTCTGGTGGTGTCTGGGGTGAGGAATGTGCGTATCTTGGAGATGTTGCGGAGGTGGAGCCTGCAAGATCTAGATAGCAGTTGGATGTGGGGTAGGAAGGAGAGGTGGGAGTCCAGGGTGACACCCAGGACTTTGGCGTGTGGGGTGGGAGAGATGGTGGCGTTGTTAGTAGTGATGGAGAGGATGGGGGGGGGGGGGGGGTGAAGACCAGCAGCTTGGTTTTGGATAGGTTAAGTTTGAGGAAATGGAGCGACATCCAGTCTGATATGTCATTCATGAGGTGGGCGATGCGGGCGGAGAGTGAGGGGGTGAGGTGGGGGGTGGAGAGGTAAATTTGGGTGTCGTCAGCATAGAGGTGGTAATTGAAGCCGTGGGAGTGAATACGTTTGCCAAGGGAGGAGGTATAGATGGAGAAGAGGAGGGGTCCGAGGACAGAGCCTTGCGGGACCCCGACAGAGAGGGGGAGGTGGCAGTGTTGTAGGTGATGCTGAAGGAGCGTTGGGAAAGGTAGGAGGAGAACCAGGAGAGAGCAGCGTCCCTGATGCCAAGGGAGTGCAGTTTGGCAAGAAGGAGAGGGTGGTCAACAGTGTGTTGAAGGCCGCGAAGAGGTCAAGGAGCAGGAGGATAGAATAGTGGCCATTGGCTTTGGTGGTTAGCAGGTCGTTGGTGATTTTAAGTAGGGCCCTACATTTAGGACGTATCGTATGCGGTCTGTAAACCAGAGGCTCTGGATGGATGGTTGGATAAATGGCTCTACATTTAGGACGTATCCGGTCTGTAAACCAGAGGCTCTGGATGGACGGTTGGATAAATGGTTCTACATTTAGGACGTATCCGGTCTGTAAACCAGAGGCTCCGGATGGACGGTTGGATAAATGGTTCTACATTTAGGACGTATCCGGTCTGTAAACCAGAGGCTCCGGATGGACGGTTGGATAAATGGCTCTACATTTAGGACGTATCCGGTCTATAAACCAGAGGCTCCGGATGGACGGTTGGATAAATGGCTCTACATTTAGGACGTATCCGGTCTATAAACCAGAGGCTCGGGATGGACGGTTGGATAAATGGCTCTACATTTAGGACGAATTCAGTCTATAAACCAGAGGCTCTGGATAGACGGTTGGAGAAATGGCTCTATATTTAGGACGTATTACCTCCTCTGCTGCCAGTTCCAGCAATGTCTCTTCTGTGCTTCCTCTCAACTCTCACCCAGAACTTCCTTTTATATCTGACATCACTTCCTGTCCATGTTTTCTCCTTAAAATAAGTTAGACACCACCTTGTGGATAACATTAAATCTGCAGCCTATTATTTTTCCAGGTTCTTCCTTTTATTATGTTTCATACTTTTATATACATTGGGGGAAATAATGATTTGATCCCCTGCAGAAGTTTGCACACTTACACAGAAATGAAGGGTCTATCATATCATATTTTAGATGATAGAGACAGAATATCAACCAAAAATCCAGAAAAAACACACGATACAAATGTTATAAATTGAGTTGCAGTTCAGTGATTAAAATAAGTATTTGATCCTTTATCAACCAACAATAATTCTGGCTCCCACAGACTGGCTCTGTGCTCATGTGGTACACAGATTAGTCTGGTCAATTTAAGAAGGTGCTCCTAATGACAACTCATTATGTGTACAAAGGACACCTGTCCACAGAATCTCATTCTTCCATTCAAACCTCACCACCATGGGCAAGACCAAGGTGGTGTCATCGGACTTCAGGGACAAGACTGTAGACCTGCACAAGGCTGGAATGGGCTACAAGACCATCGGCAAGGAGCTTGGTGAGAAGGAGACAACTGTTGGAGCGATTATTCACAAATGGATGAAATACAAAATAACCATCAACCGCCCTCGGTCTGGAGCTCCATGCAAGATTTCACCTCATGGGGTAAGGATGATCATGAGAAAAGTGAGGGATCAACCCAGAGCTACACGGGAGGAGTTTGTAAATGATCTCAAGGCAGTTGGGACCACAAACACCAAACAAACCAATGGTAACACAATATGCTGGCCATGGATTTAAATCTTGCCCGTGAGGTTCCCCTCCTCAAGAAGGCACATGTACAGGCCCATCTGAAGTTTGCCAATGAACATATAAATGATTCAGAGAAGGATTGGGAGAAGGTGCTGTGATCAGATGAGACTTCAATTGAGCTCTTTGGCAATAACTCAACTCTCCGTGTTTGGAGGAAGAAAAATTCTGACTATGACCCTAGGAACACCATCCCTACAGTCAAACATGGAGGTGGAAATATTCTGCTTTGGGGGTGTTTCTCTGCCCAAGGTACAGACCGACTTTGCTGCATTGAGGGGCCAATATACAGGGCCAAGTATTCTAAAATCTTGGATGGGAACCTTCTTCTTTCAGCTAGAATGCTGAAGATGGGTCGTGGATGGGTCTTCCAGCATGACAATGACCCTAAACATACCACCAAGGCAACAAAGGAATGGATCAAGAAGAAACACATTAAGGTCACGGAGTGGCCTAGCCAGTCTCCAGACCGTAATCCTATGGAAAATTTATGGAGGGAGCTGAAACTTCAAGTTTCCAAGCGAACCAACTACATGAAACGTCTCACCTCTGTGCTCGCCAACAAGGGTTCCTCCACCAACTACAGGAAACGTCTCCCCTCTGTGCTCGCCAACAAGGGTTCCTCCACCAACTACAGGAAACGTCTCCCCTCTGTGCTCGCCAACAAGGGTTCCTCCACCAACTACAGGAAACGTCTCTCCTCTGTGCTGGCCAACAAGGGTTCCTCCACCACACTCACCTCTCTGCTGGCCAACAAGGGTTCCTCCACCAACTACAGAACACGTCTCACCTCTGTGTGCTGGCCAACAAGGATTCCTCCACCAACTACAAGAAACGTCTCACCTCTGTGCTGGCCAACAAGGGTTCCTCCACCAACTACAAGAAACGTCTCACCTCTGTGCTGGCCAACAAGGGTTCCTCCACCAACTACAAGAAACGTCTCACCTCTGTGCTGGCCAACAAGGGTTCCTCCACCAACTACAAGAAACGTCTCACCTCTGTGCTGGCCAACAAGGGTTCCTCCACCAACTACAAGAAACGTCTCCCCTCTGTGCTGGCCAACAAGGGTTCCTCCACCAACTACAAGAAACGTCTCCCCTCTGTGCTGGCCAACAAGGGTTCCTCCACCAATTACAAGAAACGTCTCACCTCTGTGCTCGCCAACAAGGGTTCCTCCACCAACTACAAGAAACGTCTCACCTCTGTGCTCGCCAACAAGGGTTCCTCCACCAACTACAAGACATGTCTCACCTCTGTGCTCACCAACAAGGGTTCCTCCACCAACTACAAGAAACGCCTCACCTCTGTGCTCACCACAACGGTTCCTCCACCAACTCCATGAAACGTCTCACCTCTGTGCTCACCAACAAGGGTTCCTCCACCAACTACAGGAAACGTCTCACCTCTGTGCTCGCCAACAAGGGTTCCTCCACCAACTCCAGGAAACGTCTCACCTCTGTGCTCGCCAACAAGGGTTCCTCCACCAACTACAGGAAACGTCTCACCTCTGTGCTCGCCAACAAGGGTTCCTCCACCAACTACAGAAACGTCTCACCTCTGTGCTGGCCAACAAGGGTTCCTCCACCAACTACAGGAAACGTCTCACCTCTGTGCTCACCAACAAGGGTTCCTCCACCAAGTACTAAGTCATGTTTTGCTTGGGGATCAATTACTTATTTTACTCACTGAACTGCAACTCCATTTATAACATTTGTATCGTGTGTCTTTCTGGATTTTTGGTTGATATTCTGTCTCGATCATTTAAAATACACCTATGATAAAAATGATAGACCTTCTTTGTAGGTGGACAAACTTACAAAATCTGCAGGGGATCAAATCATTATTTTCCCCACTCTACATGTACCTTTGTATACCAAATGTGCTTTGATCTCCTACCTCTTGATCCGGTCCCCAAAAACATTTTTCAATTTTTTTTTTTCTTCTTACTTTTACAAGTTGCTTATTTTGATCCCATTGGTCCCAATACTTCAGTAGGACCTGTATTCCACTGGTCTTTAATAATTAAAAATGACAAAATAATAATTTATATTTTACGATAAAGGAAATCATCACTGAAGAGAGCAAGAAAATTTGAGAAGGAACCCTGCCTTAATAATAGACTTTCAAAACTATACCCCCTCAAAGAGTGCAGGAGCACCAACCTTAGTAGTCCTCTGCTCGTGGTTGCCTCAGTGATAAGATTAGCTCCACAGGTTGCCCTTGTTATGTAAGATGTGGTTCCCTTCAAAGACCTTCGGGATAAACAGACCTTGATCTGAGGAGGGCTTACCTAGTAGCTGGGGATGAATTTTATTTTGCAATTTCCTTAACATCAGTCGGATATTTATGCATGGACCAACACAGTGTTGAAAGGAAAATGGAAAGAGAGCATATCATCACTGACCTCCATGAGCTAAAACTAGTAGGTGGCTTTGGAGGGGAGGCCATTATTGATGTCACCCGATGTTCCTCAAGGGCAATGCTGGCAACAGTCACTATGAAGTGTTCTAGAAGCTACGGTCAGCAAATTATTCCTCCAGCACTATGTGGTGTGAAATACTTTATAATGACTCCCATCTTGATGGAAAACTAGACCCCATCATCTCAAAGGTGACAGTGGATTGTTGTGGCTTGCTACCCTAAGATTGGAACCCTCATCTTCAGAGAACTCTAACAGAGAGGCGATTCAGTGATGGATCTAAAGAGGTTTGTGGTGTGAAATACCTTATAATGACTCCCATCTTGATGGAAAACTAGACCCTGTCATCTCAAAGGTGACAGTGGGTTGTTGTGGCTTGCTACCCTAAGACTGGAAACCTCATCTTCAGAGAACTCTAAAAGAGAGGCAATTCAGAGATGGATCTAAAGAGGTTTGTGGTGTGAAATACCTTATAATGACTCCCATCTTGATGGAAAACTAGTGCCCGTCCTCTCGAAGGTGACAGTGGGTTGTTGTGGCTTGCTACCCTAAAACTGGAACCCTCATCTTCAGAGAACTCTAACAGAGAGACTATTCAATGATGAATCTAAAGAGTTTTGTTCATACAAGCCCAGAAGAGACTTTCATAGAGGTTGGAGACACACCCATTTGTCACTTCTGAAAATATCCAAACAGAGGTCTACTTTTACTTCTCACAAAACAGAAAAAGCCATTTTGATTGTGCACCCATCCACTCTTGTCAGGTAGGCACACATCTTCTGTTCTGTTTTCTCAAGTGTGTGAATACTTTCAAAGACCATCATTGGACCTTCAAGTGCCTGCCATCTTGGAATTGTTTTGTACAGACCATCCTACCATGATCTCGTTAAAAAAAAAAAACCCAGATTTTCATACAATACATTCGAACCCTACTCCAGAAGAAGGCTATTGTTCCAGTGCCACCAACAGAACGATATTCCCCGTTTTCTACTCAACCATATTCTTAGTAAAATATCTGAGGCCATTTTTGGATCAAAATTCCCAGAAC